ACTTGGAAATCAGGATGTAAAGAATTTTCCTAGGGTGGAAATGCACAGTGGAGCACGTTTACCCAGGCCACACCGGGCAAACGATTACAACCACGTTCTGTTTGATGGGGCAGCTTCACAGCAGCATTTCATTTTAATCCATGCTGATATAAACTGTGAGAAGAGAATAAACAGTGTGGTATTTAGGTTTGAAGCATTTAACTTTACTTCAAAATTCTCACAAGTTTGGAGTAATTCTGGTATGTCTCACAAACGTTAGAATTTATTTCTATCTTTTCTGATAGTAAATCACGGGGAAACAGAGGGGCTTAGGTGATTTAAATACCACTTACAGCCAAGCAATTAGACACACGTAAATAAGCACGGGGAATTAAGCTCAAGTGGATGTTGTTTTTCTGACTCCCAAGTGCTCCAGAATCTGAGTTCTCCCCCTGACACCTGGATATCTCCTTGGGCTGTGATTTCTTCTGCTGTAAGGGAAGACCAATGCTCTTCTCTGCTCTTACAAACGACCGTGAAGGATACTAATGAAAATTAGTATGTAAGACCAGACATGATTACACAGATGCACTAACTATATCAAAACTTGCAATATAGCATCTAGTACCTAGGTGATTGTATTTTTGCAAGATCTCATGTTCCTCAGTGATTATCTCCCCCTGATACTTGGAAAATGATGATGAGAAAATTCTGTATGATGGAGTGCCATTGTTAAAAGGTCAAAGCCCCTTTTGGGGTAATTGTGTGCAGCAAAGTGAGTTACTGCAGAGCTTCCACCACTTTCTGGTACAGCAGATTTTACGGTCAAGTAAAGCTCTGGCTGTGATTTTTGTGACAGCTGTATAGTAGTGGCACGATGTCCTTTCCACTGTTAGCATTCTTCAGAAAGCAGAAGGCAGCAGGCTCTGGTGCCCTTTCTCAACGTGTGCCTTCCTCATCCTGGTACTAGCAGAGCTAAAGTCCATCTGCAGAGGGGATAGAGTTGACTGACTTGCTACAGCAAGGTGAAAATCACCTCTGCTTTGCACCCTCCCAGGATTTTAAAGCAAGACAGCTATCTATCTTTCTTTCAAGAAGACAAAGACTTCTCCTGGTTTGCCTGCAACCCCGAGAGAGGAGAAGGGCCAAAATTTGGACAGCCATCTCCCAGGCCTTTGATCAAGTCTTGTAGGGAAGCTTTCACATTTGTTACTTCCTTAGACTCAGAAGTGTCAAAGAGAAGACCCAAATCTCTTCAGAGCTGAGCAGGAACTGATTTATAAGCAGCTTTTCAATGTCACAGTTATCCAGAGCATTTTATGCAGTAATAAATTAAATACTGGTAGTGTGGCAATGGCTTTGGTATGAGGAGCAGCAGTTATATGTGAGGTAATGCATACAGGCCATGCAGTTAGGGTAATTCCGTCACCCCTCAATGGGTTTTGGTCTACAGTGTATGGGAGGAGCAGATCTGGTGGGAGAGAAGAAGCAGAGAGTGAAAAATAGAAGAAGAGCCCAGACTTTGTGATAGGTCTGATGAAGACAAAACTGTTGTCATTAAAAAAAAAAAAGAAAAAAATCATCAGTCACAACAGCATCTTCTTCATAAGCTCTCTAGCTCCCTGTTTCAAAAAAAAAAAAAAAAAAAAAAAAGTGATAAAATGTTTAAAATGCCAGACAGTGCTGCCGAGCTGCTGATGTTAAGTGTCTGGATACTGTTGAGGATCTTGTTCCTTGTTCCCCCAGAAATTCAGAGCAATTGAAAACCTTTCTGAAGCGAGGCCTGTAATTTTGCAGAGATTCCTGCTCCCATTGAACACATGTGACCCTGAAGACACCCACGGTCCTAGCATACACACGTGTTCCCCATGTCAACAATGGGACCTCTCCAATGTGTGAAATCAGGAGGCAGGAATTTGCCATAAGCCACTGAAGGTACCTAATAGCTATTTAAAATAAAATATGTTTTCTGGATGGCCTGATCCTTCTGCCACTGTGTTCGGTGGGGTGGAATCAGGCAGTTATCATCAGCGCCACATAACTCCTCCCGTACAAACCACCCCTCCAGCCATACTTTGTAAAGCTGCAGCCAAACAATTATAACGTGTTAAAAGTACGTGCAGGAGGGGATGAAATTCTCTCATAAACATAGCTTTCGGCACATCCATTTAAGTGTAAATGCTGGGGTTTATAGACTCGAAGAGAAAAACAGAATCAAAGGCAAATGTTTACCTGCCATGGATCTAGAAGGCTTCTTTCACTGTCCCTGCAACTTAGGTCAAGTACTCCTGGCTATGGAAACAAAGCTTATTTTCCAGAATGCCTTCCATGTGCTGTTTTCCAGCGCTTTCTATATGATTCTTCTTTGTCACAATAAACCTTAAATTAACCCCCACTCATCCCCGCTTGCAGTTTTAGCATGATAGTATTAACTGTAGAAGGAACAAAAAAAAAGCCCTTCAGCTGCCACTTCAGTACACCCCATATCTTGGATTGTTTTCACTTTCAGCTTTTAAGGTCAGAACATGCACCCAGCAATAACCAGCCTCTTTTTTTTTTTTTTTTTTTTTTTTTTTCCCACACTAAGAGACTGGAGAGGCTCCTATCTAAAACAAGGGAGTTTTGTGAGCAGGCTGTGAGCTCCGGGGAGGCAAACCCGTGCTTTTAGCTTTGCAGCCATGAAGCTCTCATAACCTGGGCTTGCATTTCTGGGCTTTGTTAACCCCGGCAGCAGGCACTGCTGGAGATGCGACTGGCGGTGAGCACATGAAAGGCCCTGCACCCAGTTTCTGCAAATGGCAGCGTCTGTTAATAACCATGCACAGAGCAAAGCTGTGCATCTTCATTCCCTTCTAGACGGAGCTGGAATACATACTGGAGTATATGTACAGTCCCAAAAGATTTGTGTGGGGTGACTAATTACTTTTCTTCTTAGAAGTGGTCAGGGAAGCATAATATGTTTGTGATTACAGGGACATAAAAGGAGCATATGATTATTTTCCATGGGAATCCTTGGGAACAGCAATGCAAGTGTCTTGGAGGATGGCTGGCTGAGGTGGTGCTCTCTGCAGGACCATTAAGCTCTCCTCCCAGCTTCTTTGTCGCGTGCTGCAACTCTTCCCTGGCAAAGCTATCCAGTGGTGCATGGGGTTAACCATGAACTTTCTTTAGCTCTTACTCTCCACCTCCGAGTCCTTCCAGGACACTCATAAGCCATGTGCTATATTTGCCTAGCTGGAATTGTTATGAGGACGTTGACACAAGGGAAAATATCTGCCTGGAGAAGAGGGTGGACTGCTACCCTTTGAAATTAAATATTGTCAAGCATCTGTAAAGGCCTGCGTGGGTCAGTGTCACTGAGCAGCCCTGAAGCTGAGGGCTCAGTTAAGGAGGATCCAGGCAGGGTACACACAACGCTCGTTCCACTCGTTTCCCCAGCGTCCCATATGCTACTAAATGCGTGACTCAGCCATGTTCTCATTTCCATATTTCAAAAGCTTAATTTAAGTCCAGAAGCCTTTCCTGATCAATACCTGAGGGCGGGGGGGGTGGGGGTGGTGGGGTGGGGGTGGTGTTTTCTGCCACAGCTGGGCCTGGACTGAATAAACCTGCAACTATAACTGCTCAGATCCTGAACTAGGACCCTCTATTCACAGCAAAACCCTAGGTGAGAAAAGCAGGTCAAGCCACAAAAACTGGTTTTGCCAAAGTAAGTAGTCAACAGTTCATCCTGTCACCTAGTGAGGCCAACCAAAGAGCTTTGCAATAAGGGAGATACGGGTGTTCAGAAGGGACGGTCTCCCATTAGCTGTGAAAAAAAAGGGTGGAACACGTGCTATCGAGTGAAGTTTGGGTATCGGAAGGTGACTTTCTTAAAATACCCTTAAGAGTTCAAGTGTAATTCAAATAATCCCCAAAGAGGGGAGGAAAAGGTGTGCACAGCTCCAGCGTTTTCCCCATATCCATCCACTTTTGTGCTCCCTGAAGTAAAACGAGATTATTTGGCATCTGTTTATTCAGTTCCCATGAGGCCCTGGAAACAGCTGTATCAAAAATGCGGAAACCTCTCAAGGGTAGAAAGGCATCTTGAGAGAAGGGCAGCCCTTCCTCATGCCAGAAGTAGCCCACCTTTAGGACTAAGCCTGAGGTTGCCACTGACAGAGCTTGTGCACACTTAGCTTTCGATCTGATGGGCCAGGGCACACTCTGAGTTGGGAACGCAGAGAAGCAAAGCGCTACTGCTGGGGAACCCACACCAATACGTGAAGGTTTTGTAGCAGTTTTTTCCTCCCAAGCATTCAGCAAAAAAAAAAAAAAAAAGGTATGCAAGGAGTTCAAGAAGCAGTTGCGCACCCATCTCTCGTTGAGCCCATGGCAGGGACTCGGCTCCAGTGGGACTCCCAAAAAACGTCATCCCGCATCGCCATGTCTGAAGGAATCGCTTCCACCAATGCTGCTGCCTTGCTAAACCTGCTAATGCCACCCTGTCACCAGGGTGAAATTTGGAGGGAGGAGGGAGGGGAGGCTGAAGGGCTGAACTCAAGATCAGAGCATTTTCCTGCTATCTGCACCGCAAAGACAATGTGTCATGTGCTTGTGAGATTACAATTTAGGTTTGCTATCATCCCTTTATATCAAAAGGAAGTTATGCACGCAAAGGAAACACCAAACCATCATGTCAGGGGGGCTATAAATCACATACTGTTGAATATTAAAAGGACATCAGAGTGCCCAGGAGAAAAGGGAGGGTTTTGAAAAGCCCCCTTTTCCTCAGTCCCTCATTTCAATAAACCTTGCTTTTATTTTGGGAGAGGGTGAAGGAGAGCACAGAGTTCTGTGAATACAGCTATGAATGAAACCAGTTTTGTCTCATACGCATGACTCATGGCTGACTGCCTCTGCTGGTCAATGCCTTCCTGGCCGCCGGGACATTGCTGTTCCCAGGTGGATCCTGTGGTATCCAGAAAGGGCTGAGCTCCTGCTCGAACCTTTGCTTTCACCTGAAAGGACCAAGCTACTCCTCCAAACAGACATTTATTTGATTTGAACCAGTAAGTACTGGATTGTTTTGGAGATCTCTACTCTCCTCCTCTGTTCCTCCCTTCCCCTTCTTCCCCCCGGCCACCAGCCCCAGCATCTCAAAGTTGTACAGAGGTGCATTCATGCAGTAGTGAAGAGATCACGTAAGCTTTGTTGCCATTTTCTGTCCTAGTAAAACACAGGGTTACAAAACCCAAGAAATGGAGAAAACAGTGGGACAGTCAGATCTCTGGCAGTGAGGGTCCCTTTCTGCTTTCTTGCTCTGGTCTTACCGCCCTTCCAAAGGACATCCTGGCAAGACTGTGAGGAGCCCTCCACCTCTTCTTCCCCGGCAGGTGCCCGAAATCCTCCTGACAATTCTCCAAACCACATGCTGAAATCCCACTCCTGCTGAAAAAAAAACCCTTTGTATTTCCACACTCCGTGACCTCCCAAAATGTGTCAGCTCTGAAAGCTTTCAAGCTGACTGCAAATGTTGCAGGTCGTTTCCGTAGCTCCTAAATTCTGAGCGATTATAGTGGGGGAAAACACGGCTGTAATCATTGCTTTTAAAATATGATTGCTGCTCAAAAGAATTATTGGTGAGGGGGGTAGTTGTCTGGAGGATGGCATGATTCAGGACTGCTGACTTCCACTCATTCAAAGTCACCGAGTGAGTCAGTTGAAAAGTCATTGAAACTAGCAGAGTCAACAAAGTACTAATTCATATTTAGGTTCCCAAATCAACCGCATGGAAGATTTCAGCTCAAAGGTATGGGTTTTAAAAGCAAGAGGAGGTGAAGGTAGGAGGCTGCGTTTCAAGCCTGCACTAAATGCCATCCTAGGCTCTGCCGCTTCAGATTCCAGTGCTTCTCGCCCCAAGTAAGTGCTGGTTAAAGGTGTAACAGCACTCAGGGAAGTCCACTTTCAGCCCAGGCAGAAACAAGGTCCATATACCAGCTTCTCTGTGATGGTTAAAGCATTACTCTGCAAAATAAATGTTTCTCTTGAATATAAAACACAGAATAGTCACAGCATGCAAATCATTAGTACGCAAAAGCTGCTGTCTTGAAGCTCTGCCACCAATGGCTAATTAATTCTAGGTACCGTAACGATCGCATCACAGGGAAGCGCTATTCTGTGTAAGCAGAAGCTCTGTATACAAACAGTGCAATGCACAAACAGAAATCGCACCTCTGAGAGCCTTTTCATTCACAAAATTTAGTCATCTTGAAAGTGCTACTCCCAAGAACCAACACAGTAACCTGAATAGTAGAAAAATAAAACTCAGTATTTATCACTATGAAAGTAATAGCAAGAGGGTTGTGCAGTGAGAGAAATCCTTTGGAGAATAAATAGCTTAGCAGCTTCCAAACTAGCAGGACAGTGAAAGCAGAGATCAAATGCAAGATCTTGCAAATCTACAGGAAATGACTCGAGAAATTAGATCAAGTAAAACTTCAGCTTCCAAGCCTCGGACACGTTTGCTTCTCACCATTGGGGCAAATATACGCATATACAACACAAGTACATAAAAATACATCCAGATCATACGGTCGAGCTCTCAAGCATTAATCAGACAGTGATTAATACCCAGTCCTCCTCAGTGATATATGTGTTATAATGGCCTTTTAATTACGTGACTGCGCCTTGGGTTTTTCACGTGGCCATAACTCTCCCCTGATTCTGGCTCTGTAGTAGCCAACTGCTAAATGCCACGCTTCCCACTTCATGCGCATCGGTGCTCCTGCTGACCATGGAAATTTTTGGCATGAAAGATTTTAAGGATGTTAAACGTCTGTGCAATCTCGGCATCGCTTGGGGGAAAAAAAAAAAAAAATACATAGGATGGGTGGAAGTGTGTCAAATCATTACATCTGGTCTTTTATGGCACAGCAGCTGTGAAGACGTTCCTGCCATTTCCTTGCCCCCAACCGCTTACTCCTGCCCTGACACTTCCTTTCGCTGCCAGCTCAGCTTTGCCAAGATGTTTATCATGCCATTCTGCAAGCTGGATCCTTGAATAACTTTCCAAAATAAATAGGTATTGGGAGGTATTATTAGCTGGGACAATTTAGCAGATCCAGCAGTGTGACTCCCCAACGGGGGGGATGCATTAGCACAGCCGAGGGGGTGTCAAACGGTGCTTTGCAGAGGAATGAGCGGGTGGGAAGGGGATGGAGGGAGAGGCAGCACTGCCACCCAAATGAGCACGCCACAGGCTGCCACGGGGAGGGGAGGGGGCTCGTGCTCTCACACATTATCTGGTGTTACGGCTGAAACTCTAGCACTGACAAGCGCGTTACTAAAACATTGTAAAGCCACCAAAGCTGCAGATTCTGGTACCATCTCTAAATGACATGCTGCTTCTCCCTGGGGGTAACCTCCCATAAAGAAGACCTAAAAAGCTTTCGTCAGCTCTTGCCTCCATTGCATGACGAGCAGTCCACAGATTTTTCCCCAAGTTTCCACTTTTGCTCCTGAAAAAAAAATTTACAGCACTTAGAAACTGAAACCCAACAGAGCAGAAACACAATTTCCACCCCAACATCTGAAGGCCTCTTCAAGACTAAATCCCATAGGCTCGACTTTAAAGATAAATTGCTAAGTGGCTTCCTTAGGAATAGCAGCTGTACAGGGTCTGAATTTCCCTACACAGTGAGAGCAGAGACAGGACATCTCCCCACCCACAGTGGGAAATACATGCTGCTGCTGTGGTGCCTGCAGAGACTGGAAGGACAAGGTGATGTGTTTGGGTGAGACAATCAGATTTCTTCTCCCAGGATTGCCTCGTTACAGGGGACCTGATGGAGAAAGCAAATCCAAAACTCACTGTTAGTTATTCAAGTTCATGGGCCAAAATTTATTTTCAAAAGTCGGCTGCCTTTCCCCCCCTCCTCTGTGGACCGAGGAAGTTTCCAGGACAGGAGATGTCACATTGTAGCTGTGGACACACCACAAGCTGGGCGAGGGTTATGGCACTGCTTATTGTAGCAAATAAACCATTTAAACTGACCTACAAAAAAAGCTGCCCGGTGCTACCGGCATGCCTGGTCTCACCCCGTAGTGTGGCTCTCCGAGGGCTGGTGTGAGCTCTTGTGGAGGGCAAGACGGGCTGGGAAGAGCACAAGGGTGGTGGGAAACCCTTCTGCAAGGGCGGAGGAGCCCTGTCGCCTCAGGACGTGGCTCGGGGGGGGGACGGGGGGGGGGGGGGGGACGGGACACCGCTGCCTCCCCGAGCTCTTCTCCCAACAGGCGGTTTGCTGAAGCCCTCGCTGCGCGCACGGCATCGCACCAAGCGCCAGCAGGAACGTAAACCCTTCCTATGGGCCCTGCCAGCCATGACAAGGAGCTGCGCTGAGCCAGGCCGGTTCGGGCCGAACCCAACTGAGCTGGGCTGGCTTGGGTTAGGCTGAACCCAGTCCGAGCTGGGCCGAACCCAGCTCAGCCGGGCTGGGCTGAACCCGGCCGAGCCGGGCAAGGTCAGGCTGAGGCGAGCTGGGCCTGGCTGGGCTCAGCTGGGCGAGATCGGGCTGAGCCGGGCCTCGCTAGGTCGGGCCGGGGGCCGGGCGAGGCTGAGCCCGGGCGGGACGAGCCGAGGGGGGCGGGCGGGGCGCGGGGGGCTGCGGCGCGGGGGGCGGGGGCGAAGGCGGCCGCACCCCGGGGGCTCGGTGGGCCGGGCCGGGGCGGGCCGCGGGGGAGGTGCCACGGGCAGGCGCGTCTCCTCCTTCCCCGCCGCCGCCGCGGCTCCCTCCTTCCCTTCCTCCCTCCCTCCCTCCTTCCTTCCCTCCCTCCCTCCTTCCCTCCCTCCCGCCCGGCTCCGGCGCTGCCCTGCCCGTTCCCGGCGGCCGCGGCCGCTCGGCAGCGCCGCCGCTTCCTCCCGGGGCTCCGCCGCCGCCCCCCGCGGCCCCCCGCCATGGCGTGAGCGCGGCCATGGGGCTGGCCCGGCGCCGCCGCCTGCCCCCGGGCGCTCCGCCGCTCCCCCGGGCCCGGACCCCGCGCCGCCGCCGCCGCCGCCGCGCCCCTCCGCGCCCCCGCGGCGCGCTGACCGCCGCCTCTCCTCCTCCTCCTCCTCCTCCTCCGCCCCCGGCCGCTCGGCGACGAGCGCGGCCGTAGCGCCCCCCCCCCCTTCCCTTCCCTCCCCTCCCCTCCCCTCCCCTTCCCTCCCCCCTCCCCCGCCGCCGCCCGCGCTCCCGCGCCGTCGGGCCCGGCGCGGCCGCCAGCCCCGGCCCGCCGCGGCGCGGCCTCCCCCGCCATGTGAAGCGCAGGAAGATGCGGAGGCGCAGCCCGGCCGCCCGCGGCGAGGGATGAGCCTAGACGGGGAGAAGATGACCGAGGAAGCCTACCCTGACGAGTGAGCCGGGGCGGCGGGCGGCCGGGCGGGCGGGGGCCACCCTTTGTTGCCCCGGCGGGAGCCGGTGCGGATCCCTCACCAACCCCCCCCCCTGCACACACCCCCCCTCACCTTACACACACACACACACACACACAGACCGCGGGCGGACGGAGGGACGCGGACACGCGCGTACGTGTGCGCGCTGCCCGCCCGCGCATCCGCCATTTCGCGCTCCCCCCCAGGGCCGCGCTCATTTGCATACCGCCTTTTCATTCATAAAAACCCTCGGGAGCCGCGGGGACGCCGGGGTGCTGGAGGGGGTGGGGGGGGAAGGGGGGAAGAGAGAGGGGGCGCACACCCCCCCACACACACCCCCCCCCTCCGGACATCCCTCGTCACCACCTCTCCCCGCCCCGGGTGGGGGGGTCGGGGCGCCCGGGGGGGGGGGGGGGGGGCGGTGCGACGGTGAGTTCCCTTTCCCTTTCCCCCTCCCCGCACCCCCGGGGTTGGCGGACACACACACACACAGACAGACAGACAGACAGACACACACGATCGGGAAGCGGTGGCGGAGGAGGAGGCGGGGGACACACACACACACGGGACACCCGACGTCGCGGATCCCCGCCCCGGCCGCCGCCGTTTTGTGAATAGAAGGGCGGCCGCCGCCGCCGTCACATGACGCCGCATTCATAAACCCGGTCACCGGCGGCCTCCCCATTCACCGCCACCCCCCCCCCGCTCCTCGTGCCCACACCCCCCCTTCCGGGGGGGGGGGTGTGGGGCGGGCGGGCCGCGGGTGTCCTCTGCACCCACCCCACGCAAAGGCACCCCCGCGCAGCGGGAACCCTCCCACAACCCGCCCCCCCCCCCGAGAGACTGCACCAAGGCTTTCAAAATGCCTGACCGTGCTCTTTTTTTTAAAATTCTCGCCGCCCCCCCCCCCCCCCAAAAAAAATAAAATTTAAAGGTATTACAGCGAAATTACAGGAAAGGCTTTTACAAGCCTGGCCCAAACGTTGTTCCTGGCTATCTCTTTCTGGGGTTTGACAGTCGAGAAAAATGACTCACTTGCATGCAGGACTGGTTTCGTGCCAAGCGCCATAGGATGTACCGGGCTTTAAAAATGACTTCTCTCAAGGCTTATAAAGCGACATCAAAATTGTGCAACTTTTCAGCTCGGTTTTGGAGTCCGAAAAAGATCATAAATTGGCAGTGTGTACTGCGCTCATATCTTTGTAGCATCAAACTTGTTTGAAGGTGGTTTACTGGAGAAATGCGAGTGGCGAAGGAAATGGCTCCCGCCTGTAACGCGTGTGTTAAGAGGAATTGTTATTTTGGCGCTTCTTAATGAAGAGACTATAAAAGCATGTTTATACGTAGCTTCTGAAATTGTGGTTATTTTGAAGTTGGTGAGGTTCTTCCAAAAAAAAAAAAAAAAAAAAAAGGCTTGAGTTTCTCTCTCATGGATTGCCATGACCTAGCAGACTGGAAGATTGTGGCCAACTCTTTCCCAATAAAAATCCGCCGGTTCTTGCTTTGGTTTTTTGGGGTTTAATTTTCAAATTGGAGAAGATGAGGAGAGGTGGGTCCCTGTCTCTGGGTTGGAGAGCGCAGGAGTGTACCTGACCCGCTTCAGCAGACAAAAGCTGGTGCTTGCCAACCTTCGTCTTGCAGGAAGACGTTGCTCCAAACATGTTTTCCTGCAGGGCTTGGTGCGGAGGTGAGTGTCGGTGTAAAACAGCAAGCGCTTGGCTCTGATGGTTGGGGTTTTGTTTTGGTTTTTTTTTTTTTTTTTTTTTTTTGCCTTAATTGTTGGCTGCAGTTTGTTTTGGAGTAACTTCTGCCTCCACGTGCCGCCACGCTGCTGTGCCAAGGGAAGCTTCAGCTGATGGGTTTTGTGTGTGTCCTACCTGTGGTGGGGAGGAGGCTGTCGGGTCACCGCCACCTCTCCCGGGGTCACCAGTCAACCCAGTAACGTTGCGCTTTGGCTCCTGGGAGATGGGGAGAGCTGGTACCCAACCTGTTCCCCAGGCCAGCATTAGCTGGTGGCTGGATGTGTTGGCTTTCAGGGTGAATGATGTGCTGTGGTCCTTACCCCGGTGCACATCCTGAGCTGCTGTTTTGGAGGCTGCAGCCGGGCTTGTCGCAGTTTAGTCCAGGCCTTCATCTTGCAGGGCATGGTGAGGTGTTTTAAGTAAGCCATGGTTTCCTCCGTAAGCTCTTCGCTTCCAGCCTTGCATTGATTGATAGCGTTGCTGAAGCCGGTGACTCATGTGTTGTTTTTCATTTCAGTGGTGGGTGAAGTGATTTCCCCCCCCCCCCCCATATATATGGTGTTAAAAGAAATAAGGACAGGCTCTCCTGATAAGTTTTCTGAAGCTGTTAGAACAATGGTAGTATAGCGTGCTATTTGCCCTAGATATCTGGCTTTAATTTGCATAGCTATTCTCATTTCACTGAGTGCACTGTGAGCAAATGTTAACAGCCAGATTTCAAAAAAAAAAAAAGACCACTGTCAGGGTGCATTTTAAAATAACCCTCTTTAAGTAAATTATGAGGGGGTTTTCCTCCTATTTTTGGCTTGTTTTTTTTTTTTTTTTCAATTCCTTAAGAACAATTTGATAAGATTCTGAGGTTTGAAACCATTTATAAAACCGAGGAGGAAAAAATAGGGCTTAGGATGCTGGAAACTCATTGGTCCCTTCCTGACTGCACCATTTCAGATCAATACTTAGAGGTCAGTTTGTCATTGCAAAGCGAGTGCCTCTTTCTGCATCTCAGCCTTTATTTCTGCTTCTCTCTTTACCCCCCTCCCCCCCCCCCATCACCGCTGCGCTTCTCCTTGGCGGGGTGGGGGGCAAAACGGGGGCGCCCGGTAAGAGATGGGAGGCACGAAGCTGGGGCACCGAGTGTAAGCGGGGGGAGAGTTTTGGGGCAGCGCTGCCCGGGAGGGGGCTGGCTGCCCACCGCCAGCCGTGACCCCCCCCCCCCCCCCCGGGCGGGCTGCTGGCGCCTTTCCGCTTGGAAGTAGGGGAGGATGGAGCTGAACCCTTAAACCGATTTTTGGGAACGCCCGGAGGCTGCCGCCTGCTCCTCCCGATGCCCGGTTCCAAGAAAGTCACAGGAAGTAATTAAATGGAAAAGGTCAGAGAACGAGGAAGTGTTGGTCCCCAGCCTTTCGCTGCTTGGGATGGAGCCGTGACGCCCGGGCCGGGCAGCGGCTGCGTCCCCGGGGTGGCCGCGTCGCTCGGCGAACGCCCGCTCCATTTATTCTTAGTGAGCCCGGAGCGAGGGTGCCGGGCGTTTGCAAGTGGGACCGGTGCCCCCGGAGGTTTTTAACGAGCTGGGTTAACTGGGATACGTCTCAGGCGGCGCGAGGGGGTTGCTGCAGTGTCGTAGGGGACAGCAAAATGTGGCAAGAGGTCGCAATCCGTGTTTCGGGGCGATGCGTTTTTCCCAGTCCGGGGAAAGAAAATTAAACTTGATTTAACAAATCCCGCTTCCCTCCATTGTTGACCAGTGAAGATTGCTCTGAATACTGAGTCTGTCAATACTGCAGTTTGCTCTTTATGCTGAGAAAATACATATATGTATTTTTTTTTTTTCTTTCTTCATTTTCACCACGCTTTGCCCAATACAGATGATTTTTCTGTAGGTGTCATAAGCAGCTCATTCAGCTAAATTTTTTTGCCGCAGGCTTAATCTGGGGAGGAAGGCATGGGACACGCTGTGTGTCATGACATTATTGCTCACAAATAGAACAGGAAATGAAGGATTGCCAAAATATAACTGTTTATTTCTTGGCCTGAAAACATGCCTCTTTAAAGTATGACATGTAAGTAGCTGCTTTGTTCAGTTACTGGGAGAAGTTGCTGTTTATAAGGGAATAATAGCTCTGTTAGATGAAGGAGGGGGAGGAAAAAAAAAAAAAAGAGTTTACCCTTTCTACTTCTGTCTTGGAAGTGTCTTGGAAAGGAGCTGTAGGTGGAAGGTGGATGGAGAGGGTGTGTGGTTGGAAAGCAGAAGGGAGGCCTGTGGGGAGAGGGCTGCCACAGACGGGAAGGAGCTGGATTTGAATTTCTCAGCACGTCAGTCCATGCTATGGCCGTGGACAGCCCTTGAATAACCCCGATCCCGTATGGAAGAGGAAAAACCTAAACAACCTGCCTCGGGGCCCGAAAAGTGAGATTTTTTTTTTTTCAGCGAGGCTCCCCTCAGCAGGAAGCCTGGTGGGACGGTGTTCGAGCGCTTTGCAGATGCGGCACCAGCAATGGGATCGTCTTTGGCCTGTTTTTGCAGCCTGTTTTTCATCTCACTGGGGCGTGCCCTCGAGCGTGGGTTAAAAGGTAGGCTTTATCTGCCTGTTTAATTAAATCCCAAGGCTGCAAACAAAAGTACGTTGTGCAGCGAGGCTCACTCGTAACGTGGACTCGGTTCACTGGTAGCTGGATTTAAACCACAAAATTGTTTCCTGTCGGCCACCGAACCGCAGGGAGATGATGGTAATTGTCCTTCTTCTGGACCAGGCTGGAAAATAGGAGCTGAGAACCAAGAGGCAACTTAACTATAGGTTTCAATCCCTCCTTTTGCTCTCTTACTTACACATTCTGGCATGCTTGAGGAATCGATAAATTCAATTTCCTTCCCTCCAGCAGAATAAGAATAAATGATCCTCCAGAGGTATTAAACCTGGGAGAGACGTGCTCAGAAAGTTTGAGTACCGAAAGGGTTCAGACAGTCGGCTGCATCCTGACACGAGTGATGTTGCGTATTGATCCAGCCCCTTGGATGGCAGAGCCCTGTTTCTGCAGAAGTCAAGATCTTGTGGCTCGTTGGCAAAGGTCTTGCACCAGCTATGGCCGTAGGAGCTGCTCCCTACAACAAATCCATTGGAAAATGTGTTTTGTTTCATTTTTCCTTCCCTCCCCCCCACCTTTTTTAACTGTAGAAGGTAGTCCTCCTCACAGGAGATGTGCAGGAGCAGAGAGGGCACAGAGATCGGTAAAACTAAAAGT